CCACACCTCCCTGACTCCCCTCTCTGCTCCCACACCTCCCTGACTTCCCTGTCCCTTCCTGACTTCCCCTGTCCCTCCCACACCTCCCTGACTTCCCTGTCCCTCCCACACCTCCCTGACTCCCCTCTCTGCTCCCACACCTCCCTGACTTCCCTGTCCCTTCCTGACTTCCCCTGTCCCTCCCACACCTCCCTGACTTCCCCCTTCCTCCCACACCTCCCTGACTTCCTCCCACACCTCCCTGACTCCCCTGTCCCTCCCACACCTCCCTGACTGCCCTCTCTGCTCCCCTGTAGGAAGAACTCCGACGAGGCCGACCTGGTGCCCGCCAAGGAGGCCAACATCAACTGCCCGCAGGTGGTGATCTCCTTCTACGAGGAGAGGTTGACATGGCACTCCTACCCCTCCGAGGACGACGACAAGAAGGAGGACAAGAACTAAAGCCCTCTCTCCCCGCTCTTTGGGCAGCCTTTGGTGGAAAGCTGCGGCCTGTGGGTGTGAGCAGGAGGGGATTGGAGGCGGCTCTGCTCGGGTGGGACGTGGAGACGGCCGGAGAAGGTGCCCTTTGAAGAGACCAGTATGGTTTCTGTGCCCCTGCAGCTGCTCCAGCGCTTCGTGCAGCTTCCCTGCTGTGTCCAGATTCCAACCAGCCCGGCTCAATTCGGAGGGGGAGGGAAAAACAAGGGGGGGTATCGGAGGGTCGGGAGGAGGGGAGGGGGATTTTTGGGGAGGGAGGGGGGTGCGTGGGAGGGGTTGTTGTTTCCCAGCAGCTCGTGGGGAGTGGAAGCAAAGCCCCTTCCATGAAGGACTCTCACTGGGATGGGTGGGCTGGGGATGCAGGGGGTGCAGGTGGATACTGCTTCATCTTCAAAGACCATCTCAGCAACCCACGGCCTTCTTCCCACTAGTGTTAACTCTGCAGTTTTAAGGCGTAGCATGTGTGTAGGTCTCTCTCTCTTTTATTTTATTTTCTTTGATTTTCTCCTTTTTTTTTTTTCCTTTTTGTTTTCTTTTACTGTTTACCGGTGTAAAGGTTCTTTTGGGAGGGGTGGGAGGGACGTGGGGAAATCAGTCTCGTCCACTGGGGAGGGAGATGTGAGGTCTGGTGACAACGTTCCAGATCGTTTCCAGATCTTCTCTTTGTTGTTTTTTTTTTTGTTTGTTTGTTTGTGTGTTTGGGGTTTTGGTTGGTTTTTTTTTTTTTTTTTTTTTTTTTTTTTTTTAAACAACGTGAATTTAAAAAAAAAGGAAAAA